CAATATAGTTAAATTTGTACAGTTTTCGAAAATTATTATTGAACAAAATTTCAATCTTACTCAACTTTGCTTCGGCCGAACACATATTTCGCCATTTGTCATAATTATCGTCAACTACCGCACTCTGCTCTAATAAGTAACTTTATAGTAACTTTTAATTTTAACAATAAAGTCACTAAATTTTTACTAGAGCAGGGTGCAAAAGTTGACGAGAATTATGACAAATGGCGAATGGGGACAATAGAAACCTTCCATTCTAGTTCCCAGCCATGTATAGAAAAAAAGTTACCATTATGGAGCATTTACACATTCGGCAAAAAATTTTCTTCACTTTGCATTTTCCAAAATACACAATTACCTGATTGGTTGTCAACAATGAATCAGATTCTGGACAACCAATCAGGTAAGTGTATTTCGGAAAATGCAAAGTGAAGAAAATTTTTTGCCGAAGGTGTAAATGCTCCATTAAACTTAACCCTTTGCGGCATAGTGACACTCCTGCGAGAGTCACCTTTTTTCTTGCACTTTTTTGAATACTTCAGCCACTATTTTACACATTTCAGTAACAAAATGTGTTTAAAATGTATTTTAGAATATCTATTACAATATAACTACATTAAAAAAGTGTTTTTTATAAATAAAATAAATGTTATAAACAAATTAAGTTTAAAAATAGCGTTTTTTTTACAATAAATGTAATTGTGACTAAACAACAATAGAAAATAACCTAACAATAATGTCTATATTTTCAAAATTCAAAATGTCGGATCCAATATGGCGGATGACAAAATTAAAAATTGATCGGATTTCCTTGAAACTTGTAACTCGTGGGTTTTTGGGGGCGCTGATTACGAATATGACGTTAGATTTTCAAAATTCAAAATGGCGGATGACAAAATGAAAAATTTATAGGAATGGCTTGAAACTTGTTACTCGGGGGGTTTTTGGGTCGCTCGTTACGAATATGATGTTGGATTATCAAAATTCAAAATGGCGGATGACAAAATGAAGAATTGATCGGATTTGCTTAAAACATGTTATTCGGGGGTTTTTGAGGTCGCTGATTACGAATATGACGTTGGACTTTCAAAATTCAAAATGGCGGATGACAAAATGAAAAATTGATCAGATTTGCTTGAAACTTGTTACTACGGTGTTTTTGATGTCGCTGTTTATGAATATGACTTTGGATTTTTATAATTCAAAATGGCGCTTTTGTGTATGTGTGTCTGTGATCAATTTGATCAATTTTAACAAAATTGTCCGCTATATTGGATCCGCCATTTTGAATTTTGAAAAACTGACATCGGATTCGTAATCAGCGACCCCGAAAACCCCTGAGTAACCAGTTTCGAGCAAATTTGAACAATTTGTAAAAAATTGTCCGCCATATTGGGTCCGCCATTTTGAATTTTGAAAATTTTTTAAATCTGGCTTCGGATTCGTAATCAGCGATATATTTGACACTTTTTGTGGACAAAATATCTCAAATACGTTTTAACGGATTGTCCTAAAATTTTGTAGGCTTATTGCAATCACCAATATCGAAAATAAGACATTAAAAAAATTTATTTCTTGCATTGAAACAAATTGAATATAACCTATATTTAAAGATTTATATTTTTATATATAAAAATTTGAAGTCTTTTTTCGCAAAAAATTTTTTGATTTTTAAATGATTAATATAAATAATTTTACTTTAATCATAATTTAAAAAAAAGAACATATGGTCCTAACATGTGCAACAGTTTATAATATGAATCCATGAGCATTCAATCGAAATTGTAGATTTTTTTTTATCTCTCATCAATATCAAATATAGGAATAATAATCGTTGCGGAGACCAAAGTTTGTCAAGAGGGGCCTTATCTTTGTATCGAAAATCAAATAAACGAATATAATCTGTGAGGTGCATTAGGCATGTAAATAATTTCCTCTATCTATTCACCAGCCAGGTTATCTTCTTTTTTCGATACATTCTATACAATTCTTTGGGGTTAATAGCCAGTAATAGCTGTCAAATATTATACCCATCAACACCTATATATATATCAATCTATATATATATGTATACGAGTTCACTGTTTAAATTTGAAACATGATAAACATTACCTTACATAAAAAATATGATATAATATAAACACAAGTTTTTATATAATATATTCATAAATATTACAATAACAGAATATAAATACAATAAATTACTGATTATCCAAACCTAAATCAATAATTAATAATAATAATTAACTACATGAAAATAAAGATTAGATAATTAATCAAATAATAATTAATTTTTTAAAATAACATTTCAATCTACCTTAAAAAAAACAGAGATATATAGAAAAAAGTCGTGATAATAAATATAACTAATTAAAAAAAATTTTCGTTTTTTTCGTTTATTGGGTAAAATAAGCAGAATTAAAAAAAAAAATTTTAGACAAAAATTCTAGAACTTATTAAAATACATTTTTTATATCTTATGCACTTTTGAAAAATTTTGACCAATAAATGAAAAAAAACCTAAATTTGAAGAATTTTTTTTATAGTTTTCACTATAAAAATTGGGTTATTTTAACTATGATTTTCGTAATCAGAGCTTCAAGATACATACATAGTAGTATAAAAAAGAACAAAAATATTTTTTAAAAAAATCAAAATTTAAAATTTTTTTAAAATTCTGAAAATTTTGTTTGCCCACGATTGGACTAGGCTTAAAATTTTCTTAAAAGGAAGTACAGTGGAACCTCGATTATCCGAACCTCTATTATCCGAACCGAAAAACATTTTATCCGAACTTCTATTATCCGAACTATTTTTTGGTCTCCCGAATTTAAAATTTTATTTTCTCTATTTATTTTATCATTCAAAGCAAAATAACCAAATTTATGCCAAAAGAAATCTTAAAAATTTCCGAATTTTCTGAGTTTTTAATATATTATTAATTAATATATATTTAAATATATGTATATACTTACGTATATTTAAAAACATATGTATCAAGTTAAATATATAGTTCAACTGTACATTTTTTTACTTTAATTATTAAAAAAAAATTAAAATCTCTATTATCCGAATTTTCGATTATCCGAACCAGGCCTTGCCTAGATTAGTTCGGATAATCGAGGTTCCACTGTAGTTTTTTTAAAAAAAATTTTTGAGAAAAATCGATCAGTATACCTACCATTGAGAAAAATGACTTTTTATCTTTAAAACTTAAAAATTTAATAGTAGTATCATTTGAAATAAAATTTCGATTTTTTTTTTTTTCTGAAAAATACGTTTAAAAACATATACATTTTAAAAAGAAAAACTTTTAAAATTGATGCATTTTTAAGAAAGTTATGAGCATTCAAAAATTAAAAGTCATTAAAATTCTGAAATTTTGAAAAATTCATAACTCGAAAACGGCTTTTGCTAAAAAAAATTTGAAAAAATTCATGGAAGCTAGTCTCAATTATTACTAAAAGAAAAAAAAGGTTCAAAAAAATCGGAGATGCAATTGCAGATGGACTTTAAATTGTGCGTGGAATACATCATATATTATAATATTATTATTATTATTATGTGTCGGTGTCCCTATTGAAAATTTGGTAACTTAATATTAATAATAGATTATTATTATTATTATTATTAAACGAAAAAAATATTTATCTGAAACAGCGATATGTTTCTCTAGACTAACGAAAACTTTCGCTGTTTTAGTGAAATATATCGCTGTTCCAGTGAAACTTATCTTCCAAGTGAAAATTTTTTTCCGTGTATTATTATTATTATTATATTATTATTATTATTATTTTAAAACTAATAATTTTATGGATTCAACTCAAATTTAAATAAACAATAATTTATAATACAAGTTTAAAAGAATAAAAAAAAAATTTTAAGTCGCAATAATTTAAATGTATTAATCGGCATTAAATTATGATTTTCGAATCAAATACAGTACTTTATTACTTTTGTTGAAAAAAAGCGTTTATATATTTGATAGGATAACTATAAAATACAGATTCATATTTGTCATAAAGTCATATGTATATATACATATATAGACGTGTTCTATCATGAAAAATCCTATATATGGTATAATCCTACTTCCTGTCACAATACTTCCGGTGATGTGTAAACTTGAACACGAAGGATATACTTTTCTGGATAAAGAATCGATTACGTGGTCACAATCATGAATTTTTCAATGACACTTTTTTTTTATATGAATGGATATTTATAATACTTTTGTAAATAAAGATTTGTCCTGTTTTTTTTTTTTTTTGTGTTTTTTGAAAAGTCAGTTATGAGTGCAATTACACTTACATTAAAACAATTTATTGCCCATAAGATAACAATCAGTTTGATCGCCTTCTCTTATCAAGCACTCAATTTCTTTTCAAATTATTGCTCGTCGTGCGGTATCAACTTATCAAGTGGATTCGGCGATTTTAAATCATATACAGATTAATTTCGCGATTATCTTAATTTTGATAGTAAGTAAAATTAATTAGGAAAAGTACTGAAATAAGGCCTTGTTAATTAACAAATGTTTCTTTTTTTTTTGTAAAATTAAAATTTCAAAATTTTTATGGAAAAATTAACCCAAAAAAATAAAATTTTAGATAGTGTTGTTTTAATACAAAATGAATATATATTTACACTGTTTAGTGTTAAAATAACACTGAATGGGTGTTAAATTAACACTATAGATGATGTTATTTTAAAACCACATTTTGGTGCTAAAATAAAATTTCTTTTATTGATACGATTTTTTAAAACTCTTTTTTCTAAATAGTACGAAAACATTTTTTTTTTTGCCTTTAAATATGTTTATTTTATTAAAAAAGAAGTAGTAAAATTTTTCTATTTTTAAATAACGAATTTCTATTTTTTATCTCATATAATGTATAGTATTAGATCATCTTTTAATCCAAGTCTAAAGGTCAGGGAGACGACAAACAAGAAGAAAAGAGACTTCATACTATCAGGAATGTGTTTGTCTAAGATAAACATTTTGTGAGTTTAGTAAAGAATTAAATAATAAAATTGGTAACTTAAAAAGTGGTAAAATTTGAGTAGCAGTCTCGCCTAGAATTAAATAAAAGATAAAAGAAAAAAAAAAGTTCAAGTGAAAGAAACTGCAGCTATAAAATATATGATTATCAAATTATATAGTTCCATATCAAAAACGATTGTGTAAAGAAACAAAAATATTTTTAAAAAAAAATCAAGAAAAGTTGAACGAATATTCTCATATTGTTATATATAAATATCTTCTAATCAGATATATGCTTATATAACAGATTTTGGAACTTATTGGGTCAATCGATAAGTAATTAAACAATAATATAAAAATTTTCCCAAATCGGATAATTAATTTTTTAACGATACAATCGATAAACGATATTAATTAGTATAAAAAAAATATATTTTCTCATTTCATTTATATAGCAAATCAATTATGTGAAAAATAAATCTCTTAAATATATTATTATTTTTTAATTTTATAAATTATTTTGTAATTCTTATTAATTACATATCAAATTAATTTATAATTATATAAAATATATTTTTTCTCCATTGAATAATTTCAATTATTTTTGGTTATTAGTTAATTTTAATTTAATTTGTGTTATAAAAATGAATTTAAAAATTTTTTTTTAATATAATTATATTTGAAAATATATTATTCAATTTATTAGGTGTAATTTATCTAATTAATAAATTTATTAATTATATGTTAAATTTTATGTTAAAATTAATTATATGACAGTATTGTGAATCATTTATAAATGAATCTCGCTAGAATAGTGTTTTAACGAGAAGCTTAATTCAATTCAAATCAACATTATATATGTAGTAATTAGAGAGTACATGGTTGATAATTACTTTCCCTCATTTGTGACGACCACAAATTTAATTGTTTAAATTTTATATATTTTCAGAAACGTAGAAATATCATTAATATAAAATTATTCGTTTGTAATTTTAAAAAAATGTAATTCCCTAATTAATTAATTATATTTTTATTAATAATTAATTAAAATAAATATTTCTTTTCTAGGTGTTGGAGGTGGGAAAATTTTACAAAACACTAATTAGACCTAAAATATTTAAAATGAAAATTTGGTTTTTGGTTTCGTGAAAAAAATATATCGATGACATCTTTATGCAGGTGGATTTTCTTTTTATTATAAAATTTAATAAAAGCTGTTTTTTATACGCACCATGAATAATTTTAATTTTTTCTGTTATAATTATAATTATTAAATTATTATTATTATTTTTAAATTATTTAAATTAGAATTTTTTTCTTCAGAAATCTTCAATTGGTTCTTTAATTTTAATGATACTTCGTCAAATTATAGTTTCATATATGAAAGCAATATGTGTAAGTAAAAGAAATTTTTAAAATATTTAAAATTAGGAGTTATATCAATTTTTCAATTTTGATAATGCATTTTTTTCTTTCCTTTATATATCTCGATCAATTTTTAACCGATTTTGATGAATTAAAAACAATTTTATTCCCAAAAAATATAAAATAAAAATAAAATTTTTTTATTACAATGAAAAAAAAATTTCATTTCGAGTTTTTTTCAATTTTGACTCCTTATTTTTTTTGAATTTTTTAATAATAGGGTAGATGTACCGGTTGTGGACACTTTTAGATTTATGTTGGTATTATTAAATTTCCTAAAATTGCTATTAGATTATAGGGACATTTACAGAATTCTAACATAAGTTGGCAACACTGTATTCACTTGCTTTTGAGAGAAATTCTGGTGGATTAATTAAAAATTACATGCAACTGTCCAATGATGAAAAAAAAACATTTTTCAAGGATTTCTAATAAACATCGTGACAATATCATTTGTAATTAAAATTATTTCAAATTAAAAGCAATATTTTGATAATTTTTTTTCGTTTGTATGTATAAATAAAGGATAAATATCTATGTAAAAATGTTCATTTCAAGAAAATAACCTTAAATCCTTTCTAAAAAAATACATGACATAAAAAGGTCGAATGGATATATCGAAAACTCTCGAAAAAATCGAAACATATCTCTAGATTAGAAATGTACAGGTGGAGCTGAAGTTGATTTCGTCAAAAATAAGCGCTAATATTTAAATTTTATATTACACATATAAATCTTATTTATCAAAAACACAAACTTTGAAAATGTTTAAATTGCATATATACAAAAAATTAATCATTACAACACTATTTTACACAAAGCGGAAATAAATTTCGAATCTCCTTTAAGTTTTTTATTATCCTTTTAGATTAGAGAACCGCGGTTACGTTGTGGAAATGAACATAACCTATTCAGTTAAAGCCACCTAATTGGTCGCAATAGTTAGCGCGCGATGATTTTAAAATATGTAATTCATTTTAATATAACACTTACATAATATAATATATTATTTTCCTTTGTTATTAATAAATAATTTATAAAAAAACAAAAATGAACATAATTACAACTGTAGGTAATGAAAAATATTGTTTTCAAAGAAATTTTTTGAAAATGATTAGCGCAAAAGAGATTATAGCGTAAATCACTCTCTCTTACTTCACGTTCATACATTTTTTCTTAATATTTTGAATCGATATGAAATAAAAAAATGAAGAAATTAAGTCATTTTTTAAATGAAATAAATAAAATGAAAATTGAAAAAGGAACAGAAGCAACGAAGAAGGCCGCTTGCGGCCGTCAGAGGCGCTAGTATTAGAAAAAAACCCATGGTCAAAAGTGGTACGGCAAAAATATAATAACACTATTTTTGGCCACTCTATTTTATAGGTTATTAAATTGACATGAACTGATTTTGATAATTAGTAGCTTTTGCGTAATATTTTTTTATAGAAAATGAATTTATTTAAAAAATATCACATATTTATTTTGATTCTATAACATTTTTTTTGTTTTTTATAGGTTATGTTAAAAAATAGTAGAAAAAAGATTATTTAAAGAAATCAAGCTGCAATCAATAATCTAACTCTAAAAAACCAATTAAATAAAGTTAAAGTTTATATATTTATATATTTTTATAAAATAATACGTTTAATTTATAAATTTTTTATTATCATAGTTAATAATGAATCAATTGTGATAATTCTTGATAAAATAAAAATTAACTTTGATTTACAAAAAAAATGAAAAGTTTATGTATTTTTATACAAAATTTGTTTTATGTAGAAATTAAGTACATTACTGTACGCGATTGATGAATATTCCTTTTTATTTTATCTTCAATTTAAATAAAAAATTTGACGTAACCAAACATTTCAATTAACCTATTTTATTTGATACAATTAAAAAGTTTAGTAATTCAAATAAAAATTTGGTTCATTTCAATAAATGCATAAAATTCATTTTATTAACGGAAATAAAATTTTTATTTAAAGGTCTATTTGTTCCATTTAACCAAATAATTATCTTTGATTAAGCATTTAGTTAAATATAATTTTGTTCATACAATGCAAAAATTTGTTTCATTTAACTAAAATTATTTGGTTATTTTCAATAAATGCCTATACGCATGCGCGGGTAATCGACGCAGAAGCACACAGCGCAGTCTTTACAATCAGCTGTACACCTCTGGCAGCGCGAACTTTTAAATCGCGAAATTTTATTTCATAATTTTTTAAAACTAATATTTTCCAAGAAAGTTAAATTCCTTTTCTAATTCTTCAAAACTATTGTATACATTTATAATTTATTATAAATTAATTTAAAAAGTGCGTATAAAATATTACATTAAGATACATTCGAACAAAATAATTAACAAAAACTAAAAAATGTATTTAACTGAATCAAATACACTCGATAAAATAATTTATTAGAATCAAACAAATTTTTTACTTGTAAGGAACAAACTTTTTGTTTCGGATTAAAATTTAGTCAAATGCAATAAATCATTTGTGTTTATTCAAATAAACGTTTTCAATAAAGTAGTCAATTAAATAATTTAGTTGAATCAATCAAACGTTTGTTTAAATGCATTTACATGATTGATTCAAGCAAAATTTAGTTGTTACAAATAAATTTTTCTCTGAGTGAAGTTTCACTAAAAACCGAGAAATAAAATTAATGTGTTTTAATTTGAAAAATAAATTTTTCCAAGGCTTCAGCGAAATTATTATATGTTGTATATTATATAAAAAGGACACGAAAACAGTATTTTTTTTTAAAGAAAATAAAAAAACACAAAAACAGCATTTTAAAACGAAATAAAACTCACCAGCAAGATCAGCAGGCAATCTGGGATACAGCATACCGGTTCTTGCTAACCACTCGAGTTGAAGAGGATGAAGATGATGTGGATGAGGACCGCCGGATTGAGGATGACCAACGGGCTGTCCCTCTTTGTGTATCGAGTGAAACGCGCTACCACCAGCTGGATGATAATACAATCCCCCAGGATGAATAAGTGGACCTCCAGGATGAATCAACAGTCCTTGATTTTGTCTCACCACTCCCGCACCATAAGGATTGCCAGCGATATTATTTTGATGATTTAAAATTCCATTTCCAGTTGGATCCTCTGATCCTGGTGAAATGGGTGGACTAGAATTTGGACTACGACTTGTATTACTACCAGGACTTGCACTTCCAGTTCTCGATGGATCAACTTCAGCGTCAACATCAACTGAAGTTTCATCGTCATCAATTCGACTACTATTTCTAAAACGTCCAACATTGTTACCAACTTCTGGAATTGTACGAAATTGACTTCGTGATGTTGTATCATTATTTCTCAATAATTGCCGATGATGATGATGATGATGATTATGATGATGATCTGAATCACGATTCAGTCTTCTATTTCTCAATTCATCATCCGTTCTTACAATATGTTGTTGAACAAATGGTAACAATGGATTACCCAATGAATTCCTTCTCTCTTCATTCTCTTGAAGTGTAGTAGTAGAATTTTGATGACTAGAATTACTTTCCTTCTCATCGATGTTTATTTCTGTTCTTGTATAAATTCTCGACTTTATATCAAGATCATTTTTACTAGTCACTCTACCAAGTAGTGCATCGATGCAAAATGATGTCTTTCCTGAATTATTGTGTTGTTGCATTGGTGGTGATGAACCCGGCGATGAGCCAGGATCACGAAATCTTGTTGACGTTGAAATATCATCCATAAATTTCATCGTTAGTGGTTCCTCTTTGAAAATTGGATTCTCCACAAAACGTTTTGCAATTGTTTCTGTATTTTCACCAAAACAAATTCTTGATTTCTCTTCTAATGTTGGTGATCGTGTATAATGAATATCTTCTGATCTTATTCGTGTTTCAATTTTAGGTGATTCGGGTGCCTCTGATCTGGGTGATGAGCCTGGATCTTGGAGTCTATGTTGAATGCTATAGAGATGCCTCGAATGTTGATGAAGTTCCTCGGAGACCATTTGTGCGTTGTAGTGCATTGCAGCCATTGAATATTCTTTAAAGCATTTTTTTTTATTTAATTAAAATCACACACTATAAATTTGGTACACTGGAGATTTTTCAAAAAAAAAAAATCACTTTCTCAAATTTGAATTATAGTGAATAACGCGTCATCAATCGTTTGAAAGCAAGAGCTATTAGTTGAACGTCACGTCGCAAAATGAAATCATCGACACCGCGTGTTCGTTGGTGCGTTCCCAAAAATCCTTCCAACATCGTAGTAGCCTGCGATTAAATCGTGGCTTGTGCTCCGCCTACGACTCAAATAACCCCCCACCCACCCCCCGCGTCGACAATGAAACCACGCCCCCCGCGAATTCTCTGGAGTGACCGAAATCCCGTACTGCAAAGGAAGAGAGAGATTCCGGAGAGAAATATTGATTAGAGGGAGATGAGAAGAAGAGTTGGGAATCAAGGGTGATATCCCCCTGGTTTCTCTATCGACGCGCGCGCCGCCCCAGGAATCTGACCAATGGGGATGAAGGGATATATATATATATATACATATAGCTGTTGTGAACTGGATAAGCAAAGGTATCAAATGCACTCTGTTGCTGTGAGGGTGTTAGGTAGCTCGAGACTGGAAACAGTGAGATGAGACTATCAGGAACGAGAATACTGGATTAAAAGAGAGGGAGGAGAAAGGATAGAGAGAAAAAGAAAGAGAGAGAGAGAGAGAGAGAAAGCACGGGGAGAAGACAATTCCGTGTCAGAGTCAGAGACTTCCGAATGAGACAGGATTACAATTGTCATTATACTGGCATTAATTTAGATAAGGGAAAATTATGGATAAGAGTTTCGCTATTTTGCAAAATGAGATTTTACCTGATTTTCATATTATATTTCATTTAAATAATTTAATATTTCATTTATTTGTCATTTTTTTCCTCCGGACCATATATATATATATATATATATATATATATATATATATATATATATATATATATATATATATATATATTATTAAAATTAATAAAACAAAAATTTTAATTTAACCCTATAATCCTAATAACACAAGATATCTTGGGATATATTGATAATATCCCGCAGATATCCTAGGGATGTCCTATGGATATCAAAAGGATCTCTTAAGGATATCCAAAAAATCGGCGGTTTGGATATCCACAGGATATCTTCTGGATATCTCTATAGACTTTCATAAATGTCCTCCAGATATTCCATAGATATCGTCAGGATATCCCACAGATATCATCAGGATATCCCATAGATATCGTCAGGATATCCCACAGATATTTTCAGGATATTCTCAGTATATCTTCTGGATGTCAAGAAGATATTCTCAGGATACTGTTTTTAAAGTCATTATGAGACTACGAGTGAGAATATTCTGTGAATTAAATTTTATATAAATAAAATAAAATGCAACTTGTTATTCGAGAAAGTTGTTTAATTTGAAAAATGATTAACTAATTTTTTTCTCATTCGTGATTCATTCCTTTATTCATATGCTTAATATTGTCAGAAAATAAATTGGCTTTAAACAATATAAATTCTTCCCCGCAAATAACGAATAACTATTAATATTAATTATACATTAAGTGCATGAGTTTATTTAAAAACTTTGAAAAATGCGTTTCAAATCTTCATTTAAAATAAATTAGAAGCTCATAAGATTTTTTTTTATTATATTATTATTCATTAAATTAGCTTAACAATTTTAACCTTTAAAAATATATGTTGAGATATTAAATATCCCGTGAATATCCTAAGAATATCCCACGGACATCCTGAGGATATCCTATGGATATCATGCGATATAATATCCAATAGATATTTTGTGGATGTCTTAGGGATATCCTGTGGATATCCTATGGATGTCCTGTTGATGTCCCACAGACCGGCGGTTTGGATATCCTAGGGATATCCTATGGATATCCTAAGATATTCTAGGGAGCATTCTAGGATATCGACCATTGATATGGATATTCTATGGATATCCTAGGGATATCCTTTTGTTATGAAGGAACACCTGAGGGACGTATTGACCCCACTTAACAAAAAACCATAATGTAACTTTTTTAAATATTAATTTTTTTTTAATGGGTTTAGGCTTATTTTCTACGGAAAGGGTCAAAGTCTCAAGAAAAAAAATATAAGCAAGAAAGAAATTTTTAATATAAAATAATAGACAAATGTTTATGAAAATTGAGAAAATCGTAAAAAAAATTAGTTCCCATGTGGAGGTAAATGAAAAAAAAAAATAAATAAAAAATAACAAAAATAATTATGAAACTTGGGGACCGAATTTAAAATTTAAAAACGTAAATGAAAACAAATAAAAGTAATACATATGAGGGGAATCGAACCTAAGACCAACGCAATCAAAGCCTAACGTGCTAACCACTAAGCTACGACACTTATTCAGACAATTTTTTTTTCTCAATACCTTACAATTATAATAAATAAGAAGAATGCTCAACTAAAATAAGTTCAATTTAATTAAATTCAGTTCAGTTAAAGATATAGAATTGAATAAAATTAATTTAATTTTATAAATTCCTTAATCTATTAAATTTAATTTAACCAATAACTGTTAAATTCATCAGAATTAAAAGTTTAATAAAATTTTTAATAAGCGCCTAAAAATATTAAAATTAAATTTAAAATTACATCAATGTTAAAATTAAAATCTTTATTTTCAAAATAAAATATCTTTAATATCATAATGCAATAAAATATCAAATATTTACTTGAACCAAATAATTTATATTTGAATTAAATAAACTGTATTTGAACCAATAATTTCTGTATTTAAAACAAATACTATATTTAATTGAATCAAATAATAATTATTTAATACAAATAAATATTTATTTGATAAGTAATTGATTATTTGAATCAAATAAATTTTTTTCAGTGGTACAAATAATAAACAAAAAATATTTGAATAAAGAAAGAATTTATATTTTATATTTAAAAAAAAAAAAGATTACTTATTGACGTTTTTCAACAACCATCTGGACCTGATTATTGGGTAATTTCCGTACAGAATAGTATTATATATATAATATATATGTACGTATTTTTTCTGAATAATATAAAGATTTTTTTTTTGATAAAATTTGATTAATCGATTTATAATTAATCTATCTGTGTGAATAAAAATCAAACTTCTTTCTTTGTAAATTGTAACAAAAAAAAATATTCTATTATATTCTTTATTCTTAGAATATATTTATCTCAGAGCTAAACAAGTAATTATTTGATTCAAGTAAAAAATTTTACTTGTGACAGGTAAATAAAAAAAAACCTTCAATTAAAACTTTTCTAATAAATTTTGAGTGAATTCGATTTATTTTTAAAAAATATTCCCCCAGATTGGATCTGCTGACTGACATTAATTATTAACCTCAAATTTTCATACTTCTGCTTTGAGTTTGATTTTCACTTTCACTTTCATTTTGACTGAAGTTTTTTTACTAAAAAATGAAAAGTGTCGGAAAACTCAATATGGCGGAAAAATTTAAAATTGATTTGATTTTTTCAAAATTCGGTACTTTAGGGTTTTTGAGGTTCCTAAACCCTAAAAATCCCCGACGAGTACCGAAATTTGAACTAATCGAATCAATTTAAAAAATTTCCGCCATATTGGGTCCGCCATTTTGAATTTTGTAAATCTGACATCAAATTTTGATTCAAGGGGTTAAATAATGATTATATTTGAGTCAATTCAATAATATGTGTTTCATATACAGAAATTATTGGTTCAAATTGAATTTATTTAATTTAAATAAAAATTATTTGATTCAAATAGAAATTATTTAGTTCAAGTAAATATTCTCTCTAAATCGGAATTAGTTAAAAGTGTGCTATTCATATTTAAATTAGTAAGAATTTCCACTAATTTTTTAGTCACTTTTTACTAAAACTTTATTCAAAAAATTAAAAACTACTAAATCAAATAGTATAATATTTTACTAAAAATTAGTAAAAATTCTTACTAATGTGAATTAGTAGCTCACTTTTTACTAATTCAAATTTAGAGAGAGATTTATTTAATAATAGTCAAGTAAACGATTATTTGAATCAAAATAATTTTTTTTCAAGGTATTTATATGGTTAAAAAATTTCAAAAATTGTTAATCAGTCATAAAAAAATTCACATTTTGTATATATATATATATATACATTTGAGATTTAAAATGAATTAAAATGTAATTAATTAAAAATAATTTTAATGATTTAAGACAATGTATTAACGTCTTATAAAATTGTCTTGCTTTGTTTCTGATAACTGCTAATAATAACCATAATTGAAATTAAAAAAAAAAGGAATTTATATATTATGATAAATAAACATTTCAACAAAAATTACATAATATAACATTATATACGCATATATAAATAAAAATTTTTAATATAGATTATAATTTCTATAGAATTATTATATCAATATAATTTTTATCATTTTCAACAGATATTAAATGGTTTAGCACAATATAGATTTTTTAATACATAATAGGATTTCAGTTATCTTCCGATTAGTCGTTCGTAGGATATAAATGATTATGTTCCAATCTCTTTAATCCCTCTGACACACCATTATATACCACTTTCATGAATGAGGTTTAATGTGACCTTATTCCACTTGCAATTTTCTTTTTTTTTTTTTTTTTTGTTTATTTTATAAATTATCTCCATTATAACACTACTTGATTATAAGAAGAAAAAAAACACATAAAAATATATGAGGTATAACAGTTTGTTAAAATATCAAAGTTAAATTTTATATGTTTACATTTTTAGCTATTTTCAGTTTAAAGAATCATTTAAAAAGTCATTCAAGCGATCCATTACGTGTTAAGATGGGTAGTTTCATAATGGTAAATAAAAAAAAATCAATTCTTTTCTATATATTTTCTGGAAAGAGATATAGCACTTGAAAAATCCATGTCGATTTTTAATGATGGATCACCCAAAAAGTTTTCTGTGACTTCGGCTCGTGTATATAAGCAAATATATTGGAGAGTG